CTCTATCATATAGGATATATCTCATTGTTCATATTGCTTATCCTAGCTTATATTCTTGTTGTATTTCATACTTGCTAGGATAACTTATTACACACATCAAGAGAAGAGTAGAGAGACTGGAGCTTTCGCTGAATAACTGATAATCTGTGCCTCTATCTACCAAAACGCTCTTTGCTCCAACTACTGAGATTTGTAGCACAAGACCCTAGCTTCTGACAAACTAATTCACATAGACCCTGTTGTGTGGAAATCTCAGACCAGACCCTGCTAATAACATCACTCAAATCATCCTCTTTGAGCCAGAAGGCTTCAAAGCGGAAGGGACGACCATGCCTAACTGGAAGGGGGCGAGGAGCAGCAAAATATAACATAATAGGACAATGGTCAGGAACAGAGAAATCCAAGTGGTGTACCTTAGCAGTGGGAAATATTCACCTAATTTTCTCTTCTTTGTTTGGAGATACCTAAATTAAGAAGATATTCCTAAGTTAGAGACCATTTACCCACAGCCGGTGACTTGGCCTGTTGAGAGGTTCCAATATGATTCTCACGGTCTTAAGTTCAACTTTGGCCCCCCTCTTCTTACATGAACTTTAGGAGCTATCAGACGTAACCCCTTAAACTCTTTCATTCCACTAAATTTCACTTGGGAATTTCTCAATTAATCTCCAACTTAGCACCATTGATTTTAACATCTCGTGTGGCAAACATGTGTCATGAAAAAGATGAAAATAATCTCATAGTCCCAAAAAGGTACATATTTTTACCTTTCAATAAAAGAGTACATTTTGGGATAAAATGAGAAATTTTCTGGTAAGATTTAGTTGAATAAAAAAGTTCAAGGTAACTATTTGCAATAGCTCCTAAAGTTAATGGGGGTATAGTGGAATAAAAAAAGTTGAGGGGGTTTAGTGCAACTCCCTCAAAGTTCAGGGGGTTTTCTATAATTCAGCCTAGATATTATTCAACCAATTGAATCAGATGTCCAAAAGAAACGAATCTTTCCCAAATGAAAACCAACACCAGAGAAGTAAAAATCTGTTGTTTCCCTATGTATATGATACTGATAAAGGAGAAGGCCCCTGGAGTTTGATATCTTTCTGTTAGGTGCTCGTTTTGTCTGCTGTCCACCTTTGTATCTGGCTGCATAAAGTTTCCCTTGATTATTTCAGGGATTCGCTACACAGCATCAACAAGAATGGTAGTACAATTACAAGTGATAGTTGATATGTAAGTAGAGAATCACTGAACATAAAATTCTCCGTCATGTTTTAAGATACCAAAGCTAATCAAAATGAAACTCATTTAATGCCATTGATAAATGAAGAGGGAAAGGAAATAGATTGGTTAAGGTGAGTTTCATTACTTCTTTCCAAATCAGCATTAGCACCAAATAGAAGCATAATTTAGCAGAGCAATTGATAATTAAATGTACCCAAGGATGCAAAACTAAGGCTGCCCTTGGGACTGATTGGAAGTTTTCACTCGAAAACCCCTGAATATTATGAAAAACACTTTAGTGAAAATTTTCCCCTTAAAATTCTGACCCAAAACATTTCTGCTCTGCACTCTGCATCTGAGATCATGTATTATTCATTTGATTCTCAGAGCATCTCATGTTCTGATGATTCTCAGAGCATCTCATGTTCTGATGTTCACATACTGATTCATTCACACCACTAGCAGCCAGTAAGTAAAAATGGAAGCTTAGCACTCCACAAATTGTGCACATAATAATGATTATTGTTCTCCTTTGGTTCCTACACCATCCCTTATAAAAATGGCTCTTTACATCTAATATAAGCTGGAGACAAATATAGCCCATGTTGATTGTTCCTTTCTGAAAAGAAATGTGCACACTCTAAAATCTAGCTCAAGTTGATTGTTCCTTTCTAGATAATCACGTTCACAAGAAATCTATAGTCGTGGTCTCTCTTGCTTCTGGAATCAGCTCAATGAATACTTCTGCTTTTTGCCTCAGGCTGCTTCATCATACAGAACAAGGATAATCTAGATTTTCATATTGTCAAAGTCCATGTTTAAGTGCTAACCTCAGTCACAGTAGGGAACTCAAAAGGTTAAAACTACTTTCATACAGAGAGAATCTCATTAACATAACCGTGAGTACTAAGATTACAAGGATGAGGATTTGGAGCTTTTGGGTGGAGGAATTTTGGATTTAAGCATGAATATTGCATGTGGTCCAGATTTCAATAGGGACTAAAAGCACGGGAATGCAAGAAAAGTAAGCAGGAACAGAGAAGAAAAAGCTCCGATTTTCAACGCGCCACAACTAATTCCAATTCTATTTCTCTGCAAGTAGGTTCAGCCATTATATAGACATCACATGATCAAATATGTAGTTATTTGTAAATAATACCTAATTAAACATGACTTTTGGGATCTAGGATTACATAAATCAGCCGAAAAATACCCTTGTATGGTCCAGGTATTTTCCATATCAACCTGAAAATGTAAACTTGAATATAACCTATCCCACAACTTGTCCATTTGCATGAAGTAACTCCTTAATTTCCCTTTGATTGACATTTACTCACTACTGAATTATTTGCCTAATTCAGAAGGAAACTTACGTGCAAAATTCTAGCAGGCTTGTAAGCAAAAGGTAATCAATAATTTGTAACCTTGATAGCCTATGATGTTTCAGATACCTAACATCCATCATAACCAGTCAGGCCTTACTCAAGTGACATCCCTATTGTTTTGTGTTGCCATTCTCGTGGGTGCAACTAATGGAAGACAACTCTAAGGTGCAATTGTGCCTGAATTACTACATAATCAGCTCAGAACACAGTCTGTCCCTTGATCATTATGAATAAAACTGATACTTTTTTGAGGTAGAATTGCACAGCATCAGTAGAACTAATAGCAAGTCGTGGACAAGCCTTTATATTAACTCCATTAAGACATGAGATACTTCCAAAGCCAGAGCATCATTATGCAAAGACAGGAACGGGGCATATAATAGTATGATGTTGATACATAAGATAGCACTGATGGAAAAAAAAAAATATATACAGGAACTTAAGACACAAAGCTCTTCTTGTCAAGTTTTAATTCTAGTGATATGAGACGGGTATATTCTGATTTGAGAAACTCTTCTGAAGTTTTTGGTAATCCCGGTTTTCTAATGTTAGCAAAAAATACTGAACAAGAAGTGCAATATGGTTCCAAGACGGAAGAAAAATAGAGCAGTTTGCTAAAATAAGAGGGAGTATATATAACCTATGTCCTTTCCCCAGATACATTTCCCATCTCCCTACCAAATTCAGAAGGTAAAGTTTCTTCTCTATTCTACTACCAAAATCCTATTAACTTGTGAGTCGGCTTATTCTGACCAATGACCAAGCATGTTTCCTGGCCCTCAATGAGCCAAAATACTGGACATTACCAGAAAAAATTCTAATGCACTTGGCATTCCAACAGTAGGAAGGGTGAAAAATGGAGGCTCTTGCCAAATGGAAAAGACCTGTCTCACAATTCATAAGCAAGGAGGCAAAGGACTCTTTTCTATTTACATTTTACCTAGGTAAATTTACAACATGTGTGAATTCTAGCTGATAGGAGAAGAAATTTCAAGACCAGAGCATCTACTAGAGCCACACTCTTCTCGCCCCCAACTGCACTGCACGACATGGACCAAAGTCATTCAATTAACACCAAAACACCCTAAACACTATGCTTCTAGCTATTGATGATATCTTCTAAATGGCTAGAAATAATATGGTATTCTGCAACTGCTTCATCAGTCGGTGAATTGTTCTCAAATCACATACTCTATTTTGAGTCTCATTATGGCATATGGATCAATATGAATGGAATGGATTACACATGGAATGACGCTTCATAGAGTTATGGGAAGCTTAATGTGAGAATTGTTCTCATAAGACACAATAGGAACTGGGCTCAAATAAGATTTGTAAGGAACTCCGTAGTACCTGGACCATCTGCACTCTAGATCTTCATGCCTCAATTGGCCCAAGAATGAGGAGTCAAATGGCATGAAAATGTTTATATACACATCAAAACAATACTATTTTCCTTGGATGAAATAAATTAATTTTAAGCCACTTGATTAGTTGATGAGAACTTTTCGAACCGCTTGATAGTTTAGATGGATTAAGGACAACATATCACCATGACTAATGTCAAACATCCATGCTATGGTTCTCAACATATCATGATAAGGTTCTCAACATACCATGATAAGGTTCTCAAGACATTTTTTTTAAGTCCAGTAGCTAAAAAGTCCATTGAGAATCTCGTTAAGACTATCTCAGTCTGACTAAATGTTAGCTTGAGTATTGTCTAACTTAAGAGCAAATATTGTCCTTAAACTTTACCACAACCAATATTTAGAATGACCATATTCATTATATAAAATGCGCTAGTATTTTATTATATAGTACCTAACAATTCTATATATTTCATTGTCTACTTGACCCAGAAGCCTTTTAGATTGAAAGCGAGAGAACTGTGAATAAATACATTCTTCTCAAAAGAAACAAAGGATAAAGTATAAGAAAATGTAAAGAGATGTTGATTATTGAGCTGAAGAATAGTAGGTTATATATTGTCCTAATTCTAGTAGACTGGAGCTTATGATAAGGATTTTGACCAAAATTCGCAAGTGGCGGTAATAAGTACAAAGCATGGCTTGAATGCAAGGTCTTGGTTTGTAAAGGATATCCCAGTATTTAGTTACTTATACATATGTCATATTCCTCCAAACAAGCAGGTCACAAAGTTATTGGGCGTGTACGTATGTTGGAACTCAAAATAATCTTGAGATAACAGTAGCAAGGCCAAAAATACCAGAGAAGACTTGCACTGGAGCTAAAGTAAAAATATAACATAACCGCAGCTCCAAAACTGCAGTTTATGTAGTACATTTACTTTGTCTGTACTTCGTCTTCATGTAACCAAAATAATCTTGAGATAGTAGTAGCAACGCCAAAAATACCAGAGAAGACCTGTACTGGAACTAAAGTAACATAATAACATGACTGCAGCTCTAAAACTGCAGCTTGTGTAGTACATTTACTTCGTATGCATGTAACCAAAATGCTTACTCAATAAGATCGTAGTCATATAATTGGAGCTACATAAGCTACAAGTAATAGAACATCAGTAATAGCTACAGCGTGCCTAATGAAGATAACATGAATTACAAATTTTCCAAGCTAGTTTACCTTAGCTTGCAGTGAATAATCCACAACTGGTTTAGCAGTGTCTATCCAGATATCTCAGCAATCATGGAGCAGAATGTCGCAAAATGAACAGCTTAAACCATGATGGCCCAACATTAACTTGACGGTAGTAGAAAGTGGAAGTACAAGATGCAAAGGACGCTATATCTTTTGTTTAAGGGCTTGGCGTAATTGAATCTTCTGGCTTTCTATCCTTGCCTCTAGAAGCTTTGCCTTCAAGCTGTGTTTCTGCATACCTCGGGGCCATTCAATGCAGCCCTTAATCCCTCGATTTATATTGGGATTCACAGAGTCAGGGGAGCTCCACTGTCCCACACTCGGTGAGCTTAGGCCTCCTTCCCCTGATTTCCCGTCAGAAGATAAAGTAGCACTAGACATCCTTGCATTTGACAGCCTACCATTTAAGAGCCTTCCATTTGCTGCCTCAAATGAGTTCCTGTGACCATTTTCACCATTACTTTGATAAGAAGACCTCCAGAACCTAGCAATTGAAGACCCCTTCTTCCGTGATTGCTTTGTGCCCACAGAACAAACCTCACTGATATCGCTATTTACCTTTCCATTATCTCCGTTCTCATCCCAATCTGTGCCACTAACTGATGCATTGCTCTCTTCACATGCCCCATTGACTGATGGATCACTACCTTCTATAGAATTACTTGAGCCCTGCTCCTCCACATGGCTCACTGTTTCCCATCCACTATCATCATCAACGTCTATATCTCCTCCATTTGTATCAAGCATCCCATTAGCAAATCCCTTAGGCGGTTTATTAGAACACCCATTAATATTCCCATTGGTGTATCCTTGGCATGCTTCAATCTCTCGCTCATTGGGTTCTTCTTTCGGCTGGAGTTCTTCAAAGACCGAGAAGATGTCCTCTGAAGCAGGAGGAGGCTGGTAAGGGAACTCCTTAACTTCTTGCACCTTCAGTAAATTTGCGGCCTCTCTCAGCAGCTCCGCCTCTTCTGTCTCCTGATCATTAGGGATTGAATTTCTTCGGGCTCTTAGAAAGGCCTCAATCTCTGCTTGAAGCTTGCTAAGCTCTGAATATTTCGCTTCAAGTGTCACCTTCGCATCAACTAACTTCATCTGGACTCTCTCTTCACGCCAGACCTCAGCCATCTGCAACATCTTCCTCTCTTCTTCCACCTCCTCGCGAATTCTCATTGAGTCTGCCTTCAATGCTTCTACCTCGGCCTTATCCTCCCCAATCTCCTTTGCCAGCTCATCACATACCTCCTCCATGAGCTCACGAGTCTTCTTCTCCTTTTCATAGTCCTGCAAGAACATCTTTGCTGACAATTTAGCCTCAGCCAGCTCATTCACTAACTTAGAGTTCACTATCTCCATCCTCTTCCGGTTCTTCCTCTCCCTATGGAGGTCATCCTTGATGGATTCAATTACAGCTCGGATCTTCTCATGCTCTCTTCTCCTCCATGATTCTTTCTCCTCCCCAAGCTTTCTAACTAAATGGTCAAGCTTTTTCTTGGCTGACTGCTGCTCAGTCTCAAGTTCAGCAATCCTAGCTCGAGCATGCTCAAGCTCAGACTGAAGAGATGATACATTAGGAACAGTGATTACCTGTTGGTCCTCGAGATTCTTCAAGTGACTATAGAATCCAGGATCCCATTTGGTTGCCCTCTCCATTGAAGAATCTGGCAATGCACCAGAAGCACCAAACTGACGGGGGTAAAAAACAACAGAAGATCCAGAAAAGGGTAAGATTGAGATGAAGTGATTAACTAGGAAGCAAGTAACTCTTCTACAGTAGATATGAGCGAAGTGGGAGTAGATAAACCTTGTGCAGCACGCCATTCTTTGGGTAATTCAATAAAATGGGTTGTCGGCGGTCATGCTTTGGGTTGGCACGGAGGCTGGAGCTATGAGGATCAACAACATCAGGCTGCAAGGAAACATGTGATAATGAGCAAAATGAAGTTGACTGCTAAATAATAACTAGTGATGAATGCATCATTACATCAAAATTCTTCCCGCAATAATATTGCAGTTACCATAAACACATAGGAAGCAACTATGTTACCCGGGTACTTCTATCATGAAGTTGTACACTTATCCGACACGTACCCGATACATTCCCGTACCCAAACTTCGGACACACCTTGAATATATGCATACATTTATTATGATATGTACTCAACTATATGAACTATGTTTTAATCTAAAGCACTTATCAAACAATTCTTGGATGTATAGCTTACACTTCTTAGTTAGATATGAGTAGGATTCATTTTAGCCCATACCCATGTTCAAAATTATAAATTTAAAGGGTTGTTTGGATGTCTAGTTCAAAAATAAGAGGTTTTCAATTTATAATAATCATAATCAATATAATAAGAGAAACTTAAAAATATGATAGGAATTTTAATTCTAATGATACACGAAGTGAAAAACAATAATGATCTCATGTAAATTATTACTTTCGATATATATTTGTAGTTTCCCCTACTCTGCATTTTACAATGTTGTCGTGTCCCGTACGCATCCTAGTATCCATTTTCATGAAACTTAGGGAAGCAATAATAAGAAATAGCCAAATTGATAAAGTTCATTACACATTTGATGTAACAAATAATGCATAAAAATCACATGAATGACATTGGAAAATTTGTCAGTAAGCCTTCTAATCATGGAAATCTTATAAAAATATTGGACCAATAATAGCAATAATATAAATATGTAAAGTTCACTACACATCTCATGTTACAAGAAATGCATAAAAAAATTTGCGTGTGTGACTTAGGCAAAATTGTTATTCAGCCTTCCAATCATGGAGATATTATAGAAGTGTAAGAAGCATTAATTACAATACAAAAATTCATAAAGTTCATAACAGATTCCATGTCTCAAATAATGCATAACAATTCACATACAGTTTAAATTGTTTAGGCTACAATACAACACTACAGTTTGCTGCTTTGTTCATTAAATTCTGAGAACACTGCAAGAGCATTGATATTGACATCACAACATAATCAAAATATTTTAAAATTTTGGTTGTCTTGAAGAAATCCATTAAAATACAAAATAAATCCAAAATATCCAAAAAGATGCAATCAGAATGCAGTGTCTCCATCCAAAAAAAATGCAATATTTGTATAAAGGTTTCAGACCACAACAACAACAACAAAAGTCTTTCAGACAGCTTCAAATTTACTGTACATAATGCCAACAAATCAGAAAGATATATATTTTAAATTTACATTCCTTAGTTTTCAAGCTAACCATCAATCGGACCTCTTTAAAGAAAACCCACCACTTAAAATTCCGCCAAAGACAATCCCCAAAATTCCCCCAAAAACAACAAAATCACCAAGAACACAAATCCTAGAAATTACACCACCATAGTAGAGATAAAACCAACAATCACCCAATCAATGCCATCAAAATCAAAGCTTTTCCCTGAAATATTCCCAAAACCAGACACCCCCTCCCCCCCCCCCCCCCCCCCCCCCCCCCCCCCCCCCAAAAAAAAAAACACACACACCTACCACACCAAATCCTTCTTATACCCAATCGCCAATGCCATGAAATCCAGCCGTTTCTCTACCCATCCTCAAATCTATCTTTCCAGTTTATAAAATTTAAAATTAATATTGAAATATCCCTAAAGAAAGGGCCGTTTCTCACCTCAAACCCTAATCCGCATTAACATGCCAGATCACCAGTCAGCAAGCTTTCTCGCCCGAAACGATCCCATCCCTTCTCATAACCCGCATTTCCTCCCTCTTCCCTTTCTGCCTCCCCTTCTCGGATTCTGGCGCAGACCCGCTCTCAGAATCCGCATCGTCAAACTTCCACTTGAGCAACGGCGTCGTGGGCCCCCCGCTCCTCTTCCCGCCTCCGGAACCCGCTGCATTTCGCCTCAATCGGACTCTTCCAAGAGCGGGGCTCCGGATCCGGCGGGGCCTCGGGTTCTGGTTTCGGGTCGGGTTGTGGGCGTCGCCGGAATCTAGGGCTAGGGTTCGGGTTTGGGTTTGCTTCATTTTTCGGTCTAGGGTTGGGATAACGGGTGAGAACCCGACGACATTGGGAAGAGCGAGAGGGGGGAGGGGGGGAGGAGGAGTGGACTGGAGAGAGTAAGATCTAG